CATAACACGTAATTATTGATACAACACAATAATTAATGAAAACTTACGGTATTACAACACGAGTTGAAAATATCATTTATTAATTAAATTCTAATATTCTTTTCTCGCGTATATCTAAAACACCAAATATATATATATATATATATATATATATATAATAAGTAAATAGTAAATTTACAAACTGGATTTTTTCTTTTTAATATATATATATATATATATATATATAAGAAAAAGATAAACAACGAAAATAAAAAAAAATGAAAGACTAAATTGAAAAGAAAAAGTAAATTAGCATATTACTACATGATTTATTTATTTATTTATTTTTGAAAAAGACGATTATTTCTTTTTAATCTGTATTCTCTTTGTATAAATTCGTGGAGACTTTTCAAAATTTCATTGCTATAGCTTATTCAATTTATAAATATTAATATAAATATTCCTTGTCCAAATTCGTGACATGTTCTGATTTTGAAATAAACATCCTATTCCTTTCCAAAACTTTAGTTCATCAAATCATCAAACAACGATTAATCTAAGAGTTTTCAAATTAATTTTTTTTAAAAAATTATCATATTAAGTATTAGGAAAAACTATTGGTCTCTTGGATTTTTTCCAACTCACGTGTTTAAAGAATAATTTCGCTAATAATATTGTAATTGTAACTAATTAAACAAATTTTCACGTACAACAAATATTGAACACGAATATATTTATTATTTAACTTAATATTTTATATGTTAAATATTAGAAATATGCATGTTAGGTAGATGTAAGTAACGTTTCCCTTCAACATATGCTGTCATCTCATTAATGGTAGGAAAACGACTGGGAGCTTGGAAATTTAGCCAAGTACAAGTTTGAATAAGTTTTTCTTTTACGATAATTATTTATAATATTTCTTAGAAATTATTTATTATTGTTTGTGAAAACAATACTTTTTCTTATTAATTTTTAAAAATCTAATTATTTATGTTTACATATATATATATATATATATATATATTAAATAAGAGCACTTTTATTATAAAAAAAAATACAAACATATAAAGCCTATATCTAATATTTAAAATGAATAATAATAATTGAATACATTTGCGCTAACATTAGAAGATAGGGACACTTTTTTATTGATAAAAATTAGATTTAAATATATTTTTAGTCTTTTAAATTTAAGATAAATTAATTTTTGGTCTTTTAAATTTAAAATTATTATTTTTAATTTCTGTAAATTTTAAAAATTTTATTTTAGTTTTTCAGATCACTAATAATATATCTAATAATATATCTAAAAGTGAGAAATTGTTATATAGTATTAATTGAATTTAATATAATATTTTTATTAACAAAAAAATTAGTATATAAATTTTATATAATAATATTTGACAAAATTTTTAACAAAATTTGAGTATAAAAAGTAAAATAATATTTTTTAAAATTACATAACTAAAAAGATCGATTTTAAACATAAAGAATTAAAAATAAATTTGCCTTTAATTTAAAATGTCTAAAAAGTCTCTATCTAATTCACGTCGGGCACGAATTGTACGACACCAAGTGTGGACGAGGCCGAAAACTTTTTGCCTCAATAGCGTTAGATGCAAGGTGTGTAGTGCTAGGCGCGAGTTGCTTAGAATTTTTTTTTGTTATTTATATGATGAAATTGTGAACATGAATATGCTTGGTGAATCTATTACACGTTGTATGTTTATTGGTGATAATTGCTCTATATATGTTAATCAAGGATACCATATATAAATGGTTGTACGGTTGAATTGTTAAGATGCATTGGTATGTTATAAATTATTTTATGTTGATATATCTGCATACATTAACTAATAGTAATGCATATAGATCAATGTTATTGAAATGTTGATGTTAATAATGTTTTAAACATAATTTATTAATCTGTTGAAGTGTTGATGATGAGAATACTGTAAATATTTAGGTATGTTGATTGACTTAGGACTAAAAGAAGGAATGCTTTGGAAAGTTGGAAATCTTATGATTTGGATATTAGTGTAGTGCTTTTTGAGACCAGTTGTTGAAAAATCGTTATTAAATAAGTATTATTTCTTGGAGTAAATTTGTTGCGCCTCATCTAAATTCTTAGTTGATGTTTGAATAAAGTATGAATGTTGCGTATGTTTTATCAGTGAGAATTGAATATGTATTTATAATGGAAAACACAAGCTATGCACCCACAACCAAAAAATATTCACAATTGCGTAACGTGACCATTAAATCTTATTTTGACGAGTAAAAATTACAATAAAATAAAAAAATCACACTTAATATATTATATATAAATTTTAACTCTACATTAAATTAATTTTATTCATTGTAGATAATCATTAAATGTATATATAATTACATGAAATATATTTTATTTAAAAATATATATAAAAAAATAATAATCTTGTGATTGTTTGTATTTTTCATTATTTAGTATAAGTCATAGTGACTTGTATTTTTTAATGAAATTATTCAATTTTTTTCCTTATTATTAATAATAGTTGGCACAAATGATAATAATTTATATATTTTAATTAATTTATCCAAAATTCAAACTTTTAACTCCAAATATAAATTTTATAGGCTATATTAAAAAGGAAATAACCATGTACATTCAGAGTTCCAACAGGGATTAATCGTGGTAGATATTTCGTATGTTCTAAAAAAAAAAAATAATAATTTCCTTTGAATGAATTATTTGAGAAATTTTATGATACCCATATTATTTAAGAGGGTACTAGTACAGTTTTTTATATTTTATATTTTTAATAATTTATTTAAATAATATTTATAATATTTTATTCTTTCAAATTTTAAATTATTTAGTCATTTTATTTTTATTTTATATATTTTAATTTATTTATAATAATATTATTATATATTTAAATAGTTTAATTTTAATTATTTTTTAAGTATATTTTTGTCTTTTCACTTAAAATATTTGAATTTCTATATTTTAATTTGAATTATTTTTTAAGTATATTTTTGTCTTTTTCACTTAAAATTTCTAAATTTTTATATTTTAATTTTAATAATTTTTTAAGTATATTTTTGTCTTTTATCTTAAATTTTTGAATTTCTATATTATAATTTTAATAATTTTTTATTTCTACTATTTATTAATATTTTTCTTTTTTTAATATTTTATAATACTATTAAAATCTTATAATTTTATTTTACTCTTTATTTTATAAGTATAATTTGAATTATTTATTTGTAATTAAATTAATTTTTTTTAAATCTATTAAAATCAATCCTTCTTTGAGGGTACCCGTAACAATTCCTTAGTATTAATCTCCCATGTCAGACCCGCCAAGCTGGACTTAGACTTTGACGGTAAAGTGACGCAACACGTTACACGTATCACTTCACCCTTTACCACACTGAATCCTTCTATAAATCGCTATTTCCATTTCACTTTCATTTCCAAACCCAAACCTTCTCCTACACTATATTCTAAATATTTCATATTCATACATATATTATATCCCCATAAACTTTGGTCCAAATAATGGGTGTCCTTGGCACGTGGGAGAGCAGCATGGCGGATCTGGAGGCCTTCCGCCGCAGCCTGGTGGCCATCGCCGCCATCCACCGCCGGAAAGACGACGAGGGACGCAAAACCAACACCTTTCTTCCTCCTTTTGACCATCACGATGAAAAGGGAACCCTTCTTTGTGTCACTAGTGGTGTTTCCTACCTTGGCCTCGCCTTGCTCAACCACCTCTTGCTCTTAGGTTACTCTCTCCGAATCACCCTTGACAACCAAGGTAATATAAATCACTAACCAATATTCTCATCTTTCCTCGTATTCGTGTCTAATAAAACATCATCATATGTCACATTTTTCCTAGACTATAACGATGATGTAGTGTATCTTCTTTGGACACCCATTTGAAATTATATTTTAAACTTGGACGACTTTAATACTTCTTCATATATATCTTCTTAACAATTCAATTCAACAATAAGCACTTATTCAATGAAAAATACTATAAAAAAACAAATGGCTAAAGTAACTTGGAACAAGATTATGAGTTAGTTTTTTGAACTTCATCCTTATTTTGCTTAAAGAGTATGTTTGTTAGTTTTTCTTCCCTTTTCCCTTCCTTAAACTATGAATTTGAGCAAAATATGTTTTGTTTTATTGGGTAAATTCAGGGTGTGAGCTAACTTTGATTCTTTGAATAATAATCTAAAGTATACGAGTTGGTGGCAATGATAATTTTCTTGTTATAAATTACTTTTGCAAAGATCAAAATTATCTGGGTAGGTACGATAGGGAGTAGGAACAGAGAGAGGAGAGAGGAAAAATCAATAAACAGTAGTTAAATTCAATTTTTCAACGCTTAATTTGTTTAGAAGATACACCCCATATTGTTCCTAATTTGGTTAAAGACTGATGGTAAAAGGGTGTAAATTAATGCTATTAATTGTTGTTAATTACATATTTTTATTACGGGCATCTGAAGGGAATTACTTTATAAGTTTCGTTAATGTAACTAATTGAGAAATTCGTGAGATAAAAAAATCTCTAGTTTATTAAAACATATTGTCATATTGTTATTTAATAAAAAAAAATTCTGAGGCAGTGCATGTGAGAGTACCGTATAGTAATAGGACTTTTGGGGATTGACTCACCATTTTTGTTAAATATATGTTTCTTTTTATGAATTTAAAATGCTTTGTGAAAGTTTAAATAACTTTACATAATAATAAGACAAAAAACAGTGTTATTGGCATTTATTTTTATGAATACTATTGATGTGATGATTCACTGTATTTGATCGTTTTCGTACGTGACAAACTATGTGTGTCAGAAAATTGTGCTTAGTTGGCAATTTGATGTCCATGTTTACTATATTAGCCAATTTAATCAAATATTAACCAAAATAATCAGTGATAGTTATTAATTTTGTGAGTCGTTCCTAGATAATGTTATTCTATGTATGGAAAATGTCAACTTCATTTTTTTTTATATGATGATTATGCCGACCACGTTGGCTATATTCTAGTGTACAATTTTGAATAAGGACTCATCATATGTGCCAATGAGATGACGATCAAAATCTAATATTGATATTAATATATTATAGTTTCTATGATCTTGGATATTTTAATTATATATTAGTACTTTATTGTGGTGGGATTAAGTATATAGTGTACGGTCACAATAAAACCAAAAGAGTGTTGCAAGAAGCTATGAATTAAAAATAACATGTTCTTTTTCCTCCATTAATTTATATAGAGAAATTACAGTTATATCCTTGGAGTAAGGGTTTCATAAAATTTTACTAAATCATCTTCCCTATTTTTACGCTATATAAAATTTTGTTAATTCTTACAATAATATTAAAACGTTTTTTTTCTTCCTTATTTCGGATTCAGTTATTAAAATAATGTTAAAATATTCAATATAATTTCATTTAACTTAAAAAGCGTGACCGAAATTTTTCCTAATTGATAACACCAGATGGAATTAATAGGTTAATTTCTTGATTTCACTTTCACATATTGCCCAGTTTGTTCAACTTAAAAAAAAAAAGATCATAAAAAAGTACTTTTTTTAAAAAGAAAGCTTTTAAGAAGTAGAAAGAAATTATTTTTTTTAAAGCAGAAAATTATTTATTTTTAAAATAAGTCATTTAGATAAAATATAAAAAAATTAAAACAAAAGAAAACTGCTTATTTCATTTACAAACTAACCTATTATTTCGGTAGTACAATGCACTAATAATTATTTTCACATCCTTAAACTATGTAACTTTTTATGGGTTCTCTATATTAATCTCAACAATAAGTCAATTATTGAATGTCTCTTATATATATAAAAAGTTCATGTTTGTTTGCATCCTTATGCAAAGAGCCGACATGTGTATAAACTGTTTACATTGAATTTGATTTTGTTGATAAAAACTGATCATGTTTTTTGTGTACAAAAATTACAACTTAGAATCTCACGTGTATTACTCCAATTTAATCATTAAGATTCATTTGGGTGTAAAACTAAAATTAAAACACTATATAATAAAGCAAGAGCAAATGAAAGTGTAGTGAAGTTCTTAGAATCATGGATTTAAGTCTCATTCAATCTTATAAAATTGACATGTAAGGAAGAAATGTTGTTTATATATATTTTTAGATTTTTTACTATAAGAGTGGTGCATTAAAAGCTGTTTAGGTTTGGTCTAATAGTAATATAATATGGAGGTTAAACTAAATAAAGAGAAGCATAAATGATGCAATTCTTAGTGTTGGGCATGGTTGTGGAGGATGGTAGTTAAGAAGGGTTGTTGATTGATGTTGACATGCAGAGGACATAGAGAAGCTAAGGGAAATGGAGAGGCGTGGTGAAGTGAGGGCTACAGAAGGAAGATTGCAAGTAATAATGGCAAAGCTGAGTGACGTTGATGGGTTGGAGAAAGCCTTTGAGGGCTGTCGTGGCGTCTTTCACACCTCTGCATTTACCGACCCTGCAGGTCTATCTGGCTACACAGTAAGTATATATATATATATATATATATATATTTTTTTTTTTCTCAATTAATCTTGATACAAGTGATAATAATTATATTTTTTAATTAAATTATTTAAAATTAAAATTCTGATTTTAAATAAATAAATAAATAAATAAATAAACTTTTTTTTATTTTTTTATTTTTGAGATATTTTGATAATTTTTGCATCTGAAAAGACATTAATTTTGGATGAGGGTACAAGATATGTAAATTACGAACCAACTTTTTCACGTTTATAACTATTTTTCTGTTCTAGACGTGACATCCCACCTATATATATATATATATATATATATATATTTTTTTTTTTCTCAATTAATCTTGATACAAGTGATAATAATTATATTTTTTAATTAAATTATTTAAAATTAAAATTCTGATTTTAAATAAATAAATAAATAAATAAATAAACTTTTTTTTATTTTTTTATTTTTGAGATATTTTGATAATTTTTGCATCTGAAAAGACATTAATTTTGGATGAGGGTACAAGATATGTAAATTACGAACCAACTTTTTCACGTTTATAACTATTTTTCTGTTCTAGACGTGACATCCCACCTATCTGGAATGTACTAAAACATGTGTCATTGGCAAATAGTTGTTCTTTTGGGGAAGTCTCTTTATTTTAAGCCTTTATAATCATCTTAGTTAGGTAACATCAACGCCATTGAATTAGTGACTTTTTGCATTAAAAGATGTACAGGTGTGTTTAAGTTCACCATGGTTGGTATGTACTATAAATTATTTTTCGGAAAAACTTTATTAGAAAGGTAACAAAGACATGTCATTATTTCTCTAACATAAATTAAATAAAACGTACGCTAAAGCATATATATATATGTTCCTAAAAATATGCTGTATTTTGGCTTAAATACTAATTTTAGAAAATTTTAATATTTTTATTAGAGACCGAAAATATAGTCAAATCTCATTTTCTTTCTCTTCTCCTTTATATTTTCCCCCTCGGCCCTCCTACCAAAACAGGCCATCAATTTCAGTTTCAACATTTATGTTAGAAAAACTAAAATTCTGAAATGCTGCAATTTTCCCTTTATCGATGGTACCCTTTTTCTCCTCAGTGGTTAGCATTATTGAACTTGTGTTCCTCCACAAGCCAATACTTGGCTGTGAATAGTAGTTGCATTGCATGATTACCCTTCACGTGTTGCATAGCATGATTACCCTTCACGTGTTGCATAGCAGTAGGTTTTTTACTCGCATCAAAACATGTCATGTCCATTCAATAATAGTTTGCTAAAAAGTCGTCTTACAAATACTATTGATTCCTAGACCCACCACCTTGACTAACACCGTAAGGTACAAAGATTTTATTAAGCACATCATATGACAAAATCTATACATTTCCATCATCTCAACTATTGAATCATGGTATGCTTGAGAAAGAGGGTGTGTTTAGTTTAAGATTTTAGGAAAATAAATGATTCATGTTGACATAAAGTAATTTCATATTATCATCTGAAAACAAATAAATAAATAAAAGTCTTACCAATAGTAATATCTGATTGATCGACAGTTATACTATCGATACATGATTATTAAAATCTTATTTTAACTGTTATGACAATGGCTTAACAAATATTTAGAAAAGTTACTGCATAATATCTAAGCAATTGCTTGTGTCTCATATCTAGAAATCCATGGCTGAGATTGAAGTGAGAGCTGCTGAGAATGTGATGGAAGCATGTGCAAGAACACCTTCCATAAAAAGATGTGTGTTCACGTCATCGCTATCTGCTTGTGTGTGGCAAGACAATGCACAATCAGACCTTAAACCTGTTATTAGTCATGGCTCTTGGAGCAATGAATCATTCTGCATTGAGAAGAAGGTAAACTTTGCACAATGATTGCACCTTATTTAGATTATATTATCTCATTTTAATAGAGCATAAAATGTTTATGTAGGAGATATATTATATGACCCTGACGTTTCTTTTGAATATATGGCAGCTTTGGTATGCACTGGGCAAGATGAGGGCAGAGAAAGCTGCTTGGAGAATAGCTAATGAAAGGGGTTTGAAGCTCACTACCATTTGTCCAGCTCTAGTCACAGGTCCTGAATTTTGCCATAGGAATCCAACAGCAACAATTGCTTATCTCAAAGGTAATAATACTATTAATTAACCTAAGGTATAATGTGTTTTTAATCCTTGAGAGAATTTGACTAAACTTGATCTTAATTAGTTTTTATACTTTAAAAGCAATAAATTTTTTCCTCACATCTCTAAAATAATGTGTGAAACTAATTCCTAATGCTAAATACTATGTGATGATTAGTTGTTTGTCACATCTTAACGTGGCAGACATGTGACAGACAAGTAAATAAAGTTAATAGAGTTAGGATGAAAGACTAATTTCACCAATTATCATAAATGTGAGGACCAAATTCATCAATTTTTAAAGAAATTAATATGGACCAAGACCAAATTTAACCAAAAATAGAGCAACTTAAAAAACATTTTACCTTGATCAAAATTTTCCTTTTGATGTTGATGTAATAGAATCTAAAGATTTTACAATTGCAAATTCAGGTGCCCAAGAAATGTACTCTCATGGTTTGCTAGCAAGAGTGGATGTGACCAAATTGGCTGAAGCTCATGCATGTGTATTCAAGGCAATGAACAACAATGCTTCTGGTAGATACATTTGCTTTGACCATGTGATTGATTCCCTTAGTGAGGCAGAGAACCTGGCTAAGGAGATTGGAATGCCTAAGGAAAAGATATGTGGAGATGCATCAAACAATTCTATACAAAGATTTGAACTCTCTAATGAGAAGTTGTGCAGACTTATGTCTAGACCACTTAGGTGTTACAGTGAATGTTAGATGAAATCATGTTATGCTTGCCTGAAAAGGTTGGTTTATTTATGAAGTGCCTTAGGTTTTGGAGTGTAGAAGAGAAAATAGATGAGCCATGCTTTTTAGTTTATATAGTTATGTTTGTATTTATTTATGGCTTAATTATAATTATAATATATATATATAGAGTTTTTTACTCAAATAATACTATTTTAAAAAATATTTATTTAAATAGAAATCGTGCAAATTTATTTCTCCAACTAAATAGAACGGGCTGTTCTGATTTTAGAACGAGCCGTTTCAGATTAAAAAAGAATACATGACGAATGGATCGGAACGGTTCAAAAGATGCACATAAAAAGTGGAATCCGGAACGGGCCGTTCTGAATCCGGAACGGGCCGTTCTGGCCTACAGATTCAGGCTTTTTTTCTTCTCGATTTTCACTTATCAATTACCAAAACTCAGAGACTACCATCAAGTGATTAAATTTATTGAATATTAACATTATAAATATAACTAAATAAATTTATTAAAATTCAATACAACAATAAAGATCAATAGTGGCAGAAACTGATTATGTTGTTCTGTAATGTCCATATCTGTTTTAATCCTGTTGGACTTTGGCCACCCTTGAAAGTTCTCTTGAATTTTGGATTTGGCCACAAAGTTGGACCAGTGTAAGTAGGCCAATAATCTTCATGTCGGAGCTTTCCAAACTGTCCTTCGTATACTTTTGCAACTTATTGTAAGGTATATATGAGAGATATGTAAGTTTGATAGTCGTGATGTGCATGTAAGCATGAAGCGAGTACAGGCGAGCAAGGGATATGAACTTTTTAATTTGGAACTTACCGCAATCACACCACATTACATTTAACCTTACTGTAAATCTCCAGCGAGTCATGCGAGCAAGGGATATGAACTCTCTGAAACTTACTGCAATCATATCACATTTCATTTAGCCTTATTGTAAATTTCTCAGCGGGTCAAACTTTTCTCGGATGTTGTGTTTCTTCCAACTTTGTGGCCAAATTTAGAACGCAAAAGAACTTTCAAGGGTCGGTCAAAGGAATAGAACAGAGATGGACATTAGAGAACAATATAATCGTGTAAAAAATTGTTCCTATTGTCACACTCCTGGTCACGCCTTACTGTAAATCTCCTAGCAGGTCATGCGAGCAAGAGATATGAACTTTCTGAAACTTGCTGCAATTATACCACATTTCATTTAGCCTTATTGTAAATTATTACACGGTTTTCTGATGCTTAATACCGGCAATTTGTCCTCTATTTTCTAACATTGGGATTCAACAACAGGAAAAAAGATTTTTTAATGCTCACTTCAAGGTTGATCGTGATCTTCAAGCTTCAATTGTTGTGTACGTTCGAAAAGATAGCAATTTCACCTGTTCTACAACAAATTTGGCATCGTGACAGATCATTTATCATTTCTTCACGTTGCTGCACTCCAATTTTAATTCTGGTAAATTGATCTCTCTGAGATGACTTTATGTCCACTTGGTCCTAAATCGAGTGAACTAATAATCAGTTATTTTGAGGTCAGCTGATGCACTCTTAGCTCTCACTGATCATGTGGTATGGTTGAATGTTATTCATAATATCTATATCTCTGTAGGCAATCGAAGGAGTTCAAAAGATCAGATATGGATATAACCTTGCTACGTGGATGCTAGAGGTTACTTCTTTAACAATTATATTTAGCTGACATATTTTATGTTTTCTAACGATCAGGCTTTATGTACCAACCATGTTAGTATTTTTGCAGGGAGACGCAACAAGATCTATTCAATGCCATGGGATCCATGTATTCGGCAATCCTCTTCATTAGTATAACAAATGGCACAACTGTTCAGCCTGTTGTTTCCGTTGAAAGATTTGTTTCTTATAGAGAAAGGGCTGTAGGGATGTATTCGGCTTTATCATTTGCATTTGCTCAGGTATTTTGTTAGATATAACATTCATTTTGAATTAGTCATGGAAACAACGAGTTTCCATAAGTTGACTCGCTATCCTACAATCTGCAGGTTGTGATCGAGTTCCCTTATGTGTTCGCATAGGCTATGATATACTCTACAATATTCTATCATGGCTTCCTTTGTCTGGACTGTTGATAGGTTCATTTGGTACTTATTCTTCATGTATTTTACAATGCTATATTTTACCTTCTATGGAATGATGACAATGACTGTCACACCAAATCATAATGTCGCTACGATCATTGCTGCTTCATTTTATATGTTGTGGAACCTTTTCAATGGTTTTATGATTCCTCACAAGGTATGGAAATGTGAGGATGAATGAATGGCAATGTATCGGATTCAGGGACAGGTGATGTGGGGATGGATAAATTGGATGGAGAGGTACCCGTGGCAACGGCTTGTGGGTTAGAGGGTTCAGAAGACATGTTTGGTGAGGATGTTGGAGTGTAAGACTTGGCTTCCATAGTGGGTGGCGTTTGATGAGTGGGAATTGGACAGGGCTCATGTGAGGACATACAACATCTTTAGAAACATAGAGACGTCCATCAGTGGCAAGGCACTTGTAGCCTTTGTGAGAGGTTGAATACCCCAAAAAAGACACATTCTTGTGATCGAAATTGAAGTTTGTTTTTGTTGTAAGGTCTAAGATGTGGAAAACAAGAGCAACCAAAGAGAGACTTGACTACTTGAAGCTTGGATCGAAGAACACAAAACCGTGCAGGAGATAGAGCTTTTGGGAGAACATCAGCACATTGATCGATGGCTGGAACATGCACTACTTGAAGATGCTTGGAAGCTACCTTTTCTCGAACAAAGAACAGATCTTATTCCATATGCTTGGTGCGTGCATGAAGAACAAGGTTGTGAGCTAGGGCCACGGTGCTCAAGTTGTCACAGAAAATGATTGGAGTTGAATGACGAACTTTAAGTTCAGAGAGCAAGGTTTGTATCCAAGTAAATTCAGCTGTGGCAAGAGCAAGGCTTCTATAGTCTGCTTTAGTGCTGGAACGAGCAACAACAGTTTGCTTTTTGGACCACCAAGACACAAGATTTGGTCCAAGAAAGATGGAGGCTCCTGATGTAGATCTCCTATCATCAGGATCAGACGCCTAGTCTGCATCATAGTAGGCATGAATGGATAAAGGGGAGTTGGAAGGGGCTGGTTGCAGATGGAGACCCCAAGAGGTAGTGCCCTTTAGATAGCGGAGAATATGTTTAACAACGGACCAGTGATGTGCAAGAGGATGAGACATAAATTGACAGACTTTGTTTACTGAGAAGCTAATTTCGGGTCTTGTTATGGTGGCATATTGTAATGCGCCAACTACCGAACGGTAGAGAGATGCATCTAGGAAGTCTTCGGTGCCAACTTTTGATAGTTTGCAGCCACTAATCATTGGAGAAGAAATGGGTTCTGAAGCTTCCATATCTGCGCGGTTTAAGAGATCCCTAAAATATTTGCTTTAAGTTAGGATAAGGGAGCCATCAGACTGAGTTTTACTTCAATGCCAAGGAAGTAATCAAGATCACCAAGATCTTTAAGGGAAAAGGCTGAGTGAAGTCGAGAAACAAGTGTATGAAGAAGGGTTGGATTATTCTCGGTGATGATAATGTCATCTACATATACCAAGTTATAGATGACATTGTTGGCATTTGAGTATAAGAACAAAGACGGATCACACTTGCTTGCTTGGAAGTTAAACTGCAGTAGAGTTGATTTTAACTTCTCAAACCAAGCACGAGTTGCTTGTTTGAGCCCATAGATGGCTTTGTGAAGTTTACAGACTAGGTTTTTATCAGTAGCTTCAAATCCGGGGGGTTGAGTCATATACACTTCCTCTTCAAGGGTGCCATTTAGAAAGGTATTATTGACATCTAATTGTTGATGAGGCCAATGATGGGTTAAGGCAAGAGTAAGGATAAGCCAAACTGTGACAAGTTTGATGACAGGTGAGAAAGTTTCATTATAGTCAAATCCAAATTGTTGATTGAACCCCTTAGCCATGAGACGACCTTTGTACTTTTGGATAGTGCCATCTGGATTTTCTTTGACACGAAAGACCCATTTACAACCTATGGCAGTTCTATGTGGTGGTAGATGAACTAGAGACCATGTGCCATTACTAAGCAGGGCATTGTATTCTGTCTGCATTGCAGCAGATCAGGTTGAATTGGATAAGGCTTGTTTGATTGTTTTGGGTTCAACATGGGTTAATAGAAGTGTGGGTTGTTGACATGGTTTGGCAATGCCATCTTTTGCTCTTGTTGTCATAGGGTGAATATTGTGAGGATGAATGAATGGCAATGTATCGGATTCAGGGACAGGTGATGTGGGGATGGATAAATTGGATGGAGAGGTACCCGTGGCAACGGCTTGTGGGTTAGAGGGTTCAGAAGACATGTTTGGTGAGGATGTTGGAGTGTAAGACTTGGCTTCCATAGTGGGTGGCGTTTGATGAGTGGGAATTGGACAGGGCTCATGTGAGGACATTGACGAGGAGTAAGGTGTAGAGGTTTGAGTGTGGGTCACAGTAAAAGGAACTTGAATAGAGCTTTGGGAAGCATGGGCAGTGGACGGAGAGAAGAGATCCTTGTAGGGAAACATAG